CGTAAACGTTTCAAAACCTGAAGCATGCTTGGAAAATTAGATTATTTTCATGACATGAAACAAACTGTAATGCCACGATATTTTATTCATAACCGCCAATGGATATCGTAATTAAAGGTAAGTTGTGACTCGATCGACAATTCTACGGACTCGCGCAACTGGGACACTCATAATTCCTTCAATACCTAACGGATCTGCTCGAATTTTGGAATGTGAGTATTAATTATCGATACGCTGCCGCAGGAATTATTACAGATTTTTGCATGAATTATTTCCTAACCTAACTTAACCTAACCTAACCTAACCTAACCCAACCTAACCTAACAATAAGTCATGTAAAAATCTGTAATAATTCCTGCGGCAGCGTAACGATAATTAATACTGTCATTCCAAAATTCGAGCAGATCCGTTAAGTATTGAAGGAATTATGAGTGTCCCAGTTGCTTAAAAAATACGTTTATTGGTTTTAATTAAAAAATAATTCATGTAAAAAGCTGTAATAATTCCTGCGGCAGCGTATCGATAATTAATATTCACATTCCAAAATTCATACAGATCCGTTAAATATTTCAGGAATTATGAGTGTCCCAGTTGCGCGAGTCCGCGGCGAGCCCGCAGGCGGGTCCGTAGAATTGTCGATTTAGTTAATTTAAATTGTGAGCAACGTCTATGGCACTAACTTGCTGAGATGGCCGCCAGAGCGACAGTCAGTAGCTAGTCGCGTGACTAACTTGAGCTGCAGTTGTCTGAACATAATTCCAATTTTAGAATGATCATAAAGACAAATGTAGGAGTCGTAGAATCTTACATTTCTACATACAACTTTCTCGGCGACTAAGTAAGTCAAATACGTGCCTAATTAATGTTATCTAAGTTCATATTTGCCTTTCAAGCTGCGCTTGTGCTACGTGCTACTCGAAATTCAATACTTTATTGTTACTCCCCACCCCCAGTATTTTTTTAATCAACTCTCCTCCAGCACTGGCGTTACATACTCTAGGGCGGAGGGTTGCTAGGGTCTGGGCTAAATGCATGCCAAGCTGCAAAAACAATCTAGGAAGTCTGGAATCGGCGACACGCCAGATCTAGCTAGCATAATCAACACAGTCGCCACAATAGCTACGAAGAAAATGGTAAAAATTCTAATTACCTTAATTGAAAATGTCTCAAAATCTAAGCACGTCGTTACTCCTAAGATACTAAAAAAAAATGAGCGGATTAGCTCTGTAAAATCCACCCTGATTTCAAGCACAACCTACGAGCCGCCAAAGACTCCATCAGCCGCTCAAATGAATAGATCAATGGAGCGCGTTTCTGCGGTGCGCCGCCAGACGCACCTGACGCGTCTTAGTGCGTCTCGCGCCTGCAGTTGAACGCAATTCTGTGTTGGAAAAGCCTTACTGTTACTTGTATCTCTACTGTTACTTGTTCTGTTACCTTTAATTAATGCATTGTTGGGGACGCAGCATTTTTGGATTTTCGAAAGTCATAAATGAGAAGCAACAGGTGCGAGCTCGTGATTTACGCCATTAAATATAAATATACTCCGTGTATATTCATCCAATTTCTCAGCTGATTTCACTATTACATAGTCCCATTCGGGACTACCAAAATGTAATCATGATATTTAGATAGAAATTAAAATATTAAGTGAGGATTAGAAAAAATATATACAAGCTTTTACTGAACATACGATTAAATCATCACCATGTTAGTGCACTAACTAATATATATCAATATATGTCTCGAATGCTCACGAATGTCAGTCGAGCACTCAGCATCATAGAGATGTATATCATGGCTGCACAGTTCACATGAATAATTTTATCCATGTTCACATCTGTCTAAAGACAGTACTATGTTGAGAGATGTATTGAAAAACTTGCTTACTTCAATTCATTATAATTTAATAAGCGATTTTCACGGAGCAAACACCGGATGCTGGCATGCAGCGTGACTAAAAAGATTTTAAATGACTAAAATCAGCAAATTAGGTAAAGTAAAAGTCAGGTTTTAAAACAATAAGCCGAGATTGAAAAATATTTAATTAGCAATAAATATATGTCATAAGATTTATCAAATCATATGCGACGATATGGATGAGTAGCTTACGCTTCTAAAAATACGTCTATGCTATAGTCAGTCCTCGAATAATGTAGAAGAAAATGACTATCTGGATGACTCATATATAAAGATTAGAGTCAACTGCGGGCTCGAAAGGATGACGTCACGGCACCGAATCGCCAGATGCATTGTGGTATCGGCCGCCATATTTGTAGCAGGGTCTAGCTTTCGCCTACGTGTTAAATCTACTGCGATCGTCTATTTTTGAAGTTTTTGCTTGAAGATGGGACGCTACTGCACCGTTGTAGGATGTACTAGTTGTTCTCACGGCCATTTAAACAGAAAACTATACAATGGAATGCGTTTATTCAGTTTACTAGCCGTGAATGCTGTGTATATCGTATTAGTTTATGGCTCGTACTGATATACGTATCGCATATCAGTTTACCAGCCGTGAATATTTATTATATACGATACTATACATTTTCCAGGGGCAAAATCTGTTACTTGCATTTAGATAAGCTACATAAGTAAGAATAAAACGTAATAATTTTTACGGATCAGATAATATTTACCGATCCATTATCCGGCAGCGATGATAGTGTTGTTGCAGTTGGTTGGTTTGTTGGAAGATCAAAATGATTCGCTTTGTTCTATAACATCAAATATTTCGATTTCTTTACAGTGCCTTTCAATTTCAATATAAATTGGTTTTGCAAAACGTCGATGTTTCTGGTGAATTGGTGTGTTGTTGGTCAGTTCTGTGGTCTGAGGTGTCACATGAGCGCGTCCAATATCGGGATCGGTATTACTATGAGTATGAGCCGTCCAAACCCTGGTTACCTGGTAAGCATTGAAAAAATTCTATCCTTTTCCTCTTCAAAAAGGTGAAAAGGAATTTCATTTTCCATTCTTAGAAGGTTCCATTCATCAGCATCATTATCTTTGTCCAGTTCAAGTTGTACTACCAAACTAACTCTACCAGGTACATCGCCTTTCTTGATTCGTTGAAGTTTCGTTTCTCCATCGCCTGTACCCATCCATGCACAAATTGTAAGCTTCAAGCGTCTTGTATGCCTTGAATTCTTGCAAGGTGTATTGGCTGACCACCAAATAGTTTAGTAAATCACCGTGTTAAACGGGAGGCAGGCTTGCAAAATCTGCACAACACGGCTTTGCCGGCACTTCGTTGGCATCAACATCGTTAATGTCGAACAATTTTCTTAAATATCGGTCTCTCACTGAAGGAAGGAGTTTTTGCACAACAGCCTAATCCTTTCTGCTTTATTCTTTCTTTCTCCATTGCTACCAAAACGTCCAAATGTGTAGGAACGAGCAAGTAAGCTGAGGCGCCAGTGTGATACAAAGTTGGCGGGTAGCAACGCGGCTAACGTGGATACGCGGGAGCTTGGCGAGCCCGGTCATGAAAATGTTTCATTGACTTGACACTGTTTGTATATTGTTACATTTTAAAGAGAAGTTTCCCAAGAACAGACTAGATAAAGCTATGGAAAAATATATGTTCAGATTTGAAATGCCTAGCACCTTATCGAACCAGGTGGAAGTCTAGTAGCTTCTTCAAACTATCGTCAGTCATGAAAAGATCCGGTGAAATGACACGATTTTAGATCTTGTGTGAAAAAGGCACGAAAAGGAAATGAATCGGCGACAGGCCACATCAGGCCTACGCTTCAGCGCCGAGATCACTATGTTATGTTATATCTAACCTTAAACATGATGTAGTAAGTTTTAACATAACTAGCTTTTCAACTTCGTTTAACTCACATGACATGAAGCGTATTCAAGTGATAGAATTCACAAATGAATAATTCGTAAAATTCAGGTTTCAAATTTTGAAATTTTTGGTGGATGGGATTAAAAAAATGTTAAAGAATGAATGCAGTCACCTAACAAAAAAAAATATCAGAAGCTAATGCCACGTACATATAATTACTGGCCTGTATAATTTGTGGCATCCTCATGTGATGGAATACCGTAGAAGAAATGGCTGCCACCAATGGCCCAGTGTATATGCAAATTCGTTTTCAACAGAACGAATATTCATCTCCTAATTGCCTGAGGCAATATCGTGTAGAGTAACGGATAAATCATAGAAAATACCGTTCAAATATTTATTTGAGGACTCCGCAGATAAGCCTGCGAATAAAGAAAATATGTATACAAAATTCCCATGTTCTAAGCTCAGGGACTGATAGCCAATGATGGATCAGGTGAGATTTGGTTAGGCGGTCCCTTAATTAAAATGTCAAACGACAACCGTCAACGAAATCCAGACATAAATATTGTCCGGTGATGAAAATTTTGAGCTCAGTCCATGGGGCGAATTAGAATTTTAAATGATGTAATGCAAGTATCTAATATGGGAGTCTTCATACAGAGCTCAGTCCCGTTGTTAATATTATTTGCGTAATGCACAATTTTCCTGCTACGTCACGACTAGAAAGTAAATGCTCATGTATATTAGATTAGGGCTTAACAGCGCCGCGCAATGACACTAGCGTGCTCTCCTACAGCTCAAACATTGCACTCCTACAGCTGCTGATTATATCCGTGCCTAAGCTTTCAGAGCCACTCTAGGCACAAGTCTTGTATATATATATAATACGCGAGCACAGAGGCTTCATTTCTTTAGCTCAACTGCCGACCGAGCACGACATCAAATAATATAGAAACTGGTGTTAACAATATTTTACCAGTGGTTACATATCATAATGACCTATCAAGTTCATAGCAATGGAGTTGCTCGACGAGAGAACTACAAGGAATGGCCCAGCACTGTAACACCATTGTAACGTCGATGACTCGAAGTAATTGGATACCTATTTATCTCTAACGGAATTCTATTTTGAATAACATATTATGATAGTATCATTGACTACGTAATTCAATTATTGGCAGGGGATGGAGACACGAAAAATTTACACTGGTTTTACTATACAAAATGGCTTTTTAAACCAGGGCGTCGAGCGAAATCAATACATCGGTCTTCAACACGGCACGATAAATTGATTTGTTATCAGTAAATTTAAATAATTTAATAATAATGCGCTGGAATTGACATACGCGTATATTATGGGCACTCTGGATTGCAAAGAACGTCATCTAGATGCAAATATTTTCGAATGAGGTTTATGAGATCGTCATAAATATTTCAATTTAAAAAAAAAGAACAGTAACGAGTAAATCGAAACTACCTTCTCAAGAGAAGATCTAGTATGCAAGAGCTTAAAAATGACTTGAATTGAAAACCTAAATCACTTTAATTAATTCCTCTCCCTGGAATAGACATCCCTGGCAGAGTTGTGGAAAGCGCGTAGATCGCCCCACAAATTCCACGAATCTTCGCGCGTTTGCCAAGAAAGAAACGCCTAAAAAGCGTCGTTAGTGGCGGAGTTAAGCGAGTGATTATTTCCGTCGTGTTGGCTCCGAGGCGGTGGGGGGCGGCGGAGGCCCGCGTTTGTGCAGCTCCTCTAAGTAGGAAGTGAGGATGGTGAGGCGGGCCTCAGGCATGCACTCAAGCATGAGGTAGCGGCGGTCCTTACGCAGCACCTCGACAACCTCGCGCAAGTGCTGCTCGCTCTCGTCGCACAGCGAGAACGAACGGTGAGTCAACATCTTCGTCTCCTGTAAAAAATGAAAAAAATCAGAAAAAAAACAAGTAAATTCACAAAGAAAAATCGATTTATTAGGTGCCCATTCTATAAAATTTGAATGCCTAACTTGGCCGTGTTGTTTTCAATCCATTAGGAATAGTAGAATACGAATCTAAAAGCAGGAAAACTTAACACATTGACAAATTACTAAACATATAAAAATTAATAGAAGCCCACGCTCCCAATTAAATGAAACATCATCGAGTGCGGAAAATACATCAGAGTGCGTATGCCACAGGTAGACATTAAAATTTCAAGCATATTAACACAATTTCTCCAGTCGCTAAGGTACGCAACGAACTTTTAACAGCTCCCGGTAGTCAGCTTTGGCAGCGACGAGCTTGTCTTTAAGGTAGTCCTTGAACTCCCTCTCGCACTTCTTGTCGGACGAGGAGAACTTCGTGTAGCGCGGGTCGTCCTTCAGGTCCTTCTTAACGTCCTTCCAGGACGAGTCCAACGAGATCTCGCCTAGCTCGTCCAGCAGCTCTCTACAAGAAGTGTGGAGATTTATTAGAACCAATCGTATATTCAATGACAATTGAGAAATTGAAACCCAGGTTGTCACGTACAAAAATAAAGAGTAGTATGAAACACAAATCTTCGATCGAGTACATTTTAAATAAAATATCGGGATTACTACGAGACGGATGAAAGAATTCTCGTTATGTTGGAACACTCTTTGCCATCATTGGACATTTAATTATAGGTTTTTAAATGGTCGTAGTTAATATCAAACGGAAGCGATCCTTTGTAAATTATCTCAGTCTGTAAATTCTCGCGATGTATATTATTAGTACAAGAGCGTACTTACTAAATTCAGCCAGCTAAATTATAAGTCATCTGATTGTAATATAAACTTCAAGTTCAATAACATATTGGCCAAGCATCAACTGGACTTCAACATATGTAGTGTTCCATGATGGTAAATGTCAAGAAAGTTTGATCAAGTTATCCTTTAACGGTAACTAATTGTCAATGAAAAAAAAAAATTCTGATGTAACTAAAAAGTTGCACCGTAGTTAAAAAACACTCAAGTCAGTTAATCATTAGAAAACATTTCGGTTGACAATCGAAAACAGAAAAAAAGTCCTATCTCCACACTGATGAGGTCCAGTACCTCTAGAACATTTTTTGCTGCGTCTCACTTCGGTTAAACAAAAGGTATCCAAACCACACTTGCTCAATCATCAAAAAAATATTGTATGTACATTTAACATTTATCAACCTACTTAAGCGCATCACCTCCGCAGCTCCGCACCTCACAAGTGAGGCACGTCACACTTGAAGTATCGCAGGTCAGGTCAACTATTACCTGCACCGAAAAAGAACAAGTATGAAGCTCACCTGAACTTCTCCCTCTTCCTCTTTGTGAGCGTCTCGACGTGTAGGTTGAAGAGCGCCTCGCGCTCCTCGCGGTCCAGTACGGCCGCAGACTCCCAGCGAGAGTCTTTCTTTAGGGACTTCTTGGCTTCCTTCCACGTGTAGTCTGTGCTGCGTACCTGATCACATCATGAAGGCTCTCCATTATATTACATTCAACTCGCACACTCGTTAAGAACAAGTACAGGTGTAGTATAAAAAAATCTAGAGTGGATAGGCGCGAGCTAATAAATGACTAAATGCAACACAATCCCGATTGATATTAAGTTTTCATAGATCATTACAGCTGGATCACCATGAGAAAATCAATGGATCAAAACAGTACGATTAGGTATCTTATGTATGTATGTCATATTTGCAAAAATTAAAAGATTAAAAAAATCAAGGAACATTCATTAAACCGTGCTGCAATAAATTTCCTTCACTGATTCAAGAGTTTTTCAAGTTGATAACTTGAATGTTGTTTTTCATTAGTTAAATTATTCGAATGGTATTTTTATTTCAACTAATTTTATCGATAATAGACTATTGATGAAATAAATGACTATGTACTTGGATACACGCTTTGGAAGCTAAAACACACCGGAGAAAAAATTTTTTTTTTCGGACATAATCCATTGTTATGCTTCATAATCAACTGGGCAGTAATTAACAGCTTTTATCGATGATTCTGTCATTGAATAACACATTTCTGCCATATTTATCTACCGAAATGGATAATTGATCTGGCTGTAAAGGTATTACATTCGCCATTATACATCGGTCCAGTTAGCGACTGACCAGATCAGCGAGCAGAGCGTTGAAGCAGTGCACGGCTTCATCGTGCTTGTGCTGCTGTCGCTCCTTGTCGCGGTCGCGCAGGTGCGCCGATAGCTCCTTCTGCACCTCAGCCTCGCGCTTGCGCAGACTCTCTTCAATGCGACGCTGACGCTCAGCTCCCTCTTCTTCAGCGCGACGGGCTTCTTCGTCAACTGATAATAGAATTTGTTATTTTACTACACGCAACAGGGCATCAATAGTGGATTTGCCTAAAAATCACGGCAGTGATATTTGCTCTCAAAGCAGAATGCTTATTCTATTTCAATAATTGAGCGGAGTGCGGGGACAACATCAAGTTAAAGGCACGATATTTTCGAAAGAAGGCTCATTGAAATGGATAATTTAAAAGACAGTGTCTCCGTGATGAAACTCAAGTAATTTAATTGTCCACTTTCAGCCCAAGCCCAATTGAACTTCAGGAAACAGATGAGACTAGCTGCATCAACCACGAAATTATGGATCGATTTATTTTATTTAATTATAATATTTGCCGACTCTTTGCGAGTCCTAAGAGTTAAATGATAAGTTTTACTTCTTAGAACTCGACTTGATAACCTTAACGTCAACCAAATAATACTTCATGGCGTACATATTTCATTAAATTGACGAAGTAAGCACTTAAAACTCACCAGCTTCCTCAGATTCGGGAGCCTTCTGATCGCCTTCCTCATCGTGATTGTTCTCCTGGACAGCGCCGGCATCATCGTGTTCACTCTCCTCCCCCTGATGGAAACATAATAATAAATCCTGAGGCAGGAAATGAAGTGGTGAGTGGAACGAATAGCGGATCTCGTCAGCCGGTTTAAAAATCTTCAGACTATTGTTAATTTTAATTGAAAAAAACGTGGTCCCAGCCAATTAAAACAGATATTATGAGAAATATAAGGTATTAATAAATTTTCAAATAAGTGTGTAAAACTAAAACAGATTGTTGCAACTAGAAAGTAATGATCATTTTGTACGAGTGAGGCGAGTCTCAGTCCACAAAAGGATGGACAGAATGGTAATGAATGTCTGCACAAAAATAAAGCAAGTTCTTACCTCGCTCTTACGGTTCTGTTCTTCTTCCAAATCCTTCTTTTTCTTCTTTTCTTTCTCCTCCTCTCGATCCCTTGGCTTGTCTTTATCTTTATCCTTGCTCTTATGATCCTTATCTTTATCTTTGTCCTTCTTATCCTTTTTCTTCTTCTCGCGATCTCGGTCCTTACTTTTCTCTCTCTTCTTCTCCTTAACATCGCGATCCTTGATCCTGTCGCGGTCACGGTCTCTGTCCCGATCCCGATCTCCACGGTCACGATCTCCGTAACGTTCGCGATCCCGGTCTCGGTCCCTATCTCGATCGCGTTCTCGCTCTCGCTCACGCTCTCGTTCCCTCTCACGTTCACGTTCGCGATCTCTCTCTCGTTCGCGCTCCCGTTCGCGTTCACGCTCGCGATTTCGTTCTTCTTTTACCTGTGCAGCATAAATCATCGTATAAGAAAAATTAAAATCCAACATATCCATGTGCTTACCCTAACGAATAATCAAAACACAACACGGATACATGCTAGTTGTCGGTAAGGTTTGATTGATCATATACCAACAACAATCACTGTACCTCAATAATAAACAAAATGGAACTCAATAAATAAACTTAGTAAGAACTAGATCACATGAAAAAGAAATTTCATAATTTGAAGAACTAGATCACATAAAAAAGAAATTTCATAATTTGAATGATGATATAACCCTCGGCTGAAAAGGGAATTACAACCAACTATTTCACAATTTTCTCACTTAATCAGTCGAAAAATATAGTTTATTAATTCATATTCCTATAAAGATTCAATAGGAGGAAATACACAATGATACTATTTAGAAATAGCGGCAGCGTTGTAACTTGTTAATCAAACTAGATACGATTCAATGTAATAAAAATATAATTTCTTTTCAATGAATGGATGAAGGATCATACATGAATCTTAGAGCTCGTCAAAATTAAAGGCTTGATGTTGTTACTCTAGACATAAGTAATTCAGTTTCGTATGCCCTTCTCTACATGCGTTTACTTAACCTGGCTTTCATATTAACGTGCTCAGTAACTATACGATTTAATAACATCATTCCAGCGATCTTTTTTATTTAAGTTCAATTGTACAAAAAACTCTACTACAGCAATAAATGATTAATTAATGCATGAATAATTAATCATCAGCAAATGATGATTAATTTAATGCATGTATTTCAACTCGTCAATTGCTCACAACAGTAAATAGCTTGTTACCGCGACGGACCTAAAGGTTTGGTATGGCAAGTAAATGTCAACATACGCCTTAACATAAAATGTCAACACGTCATAACATAAAATGTCAACATGTCATAACATAAAATGTCAACATGTCATAACATAAAATGTCAACATATGTCATAGCATAAAATATCAACATATGTCATAACATAAAATGTCAGCATATGTCCTAACACAAAATGTCAACATATGTCATAACATAAAATGTCAACATATGTCATAGCATAAAATGTCAACATATGTCATAGCATAAAATGTCAATTTTATGCTGTATCAAAATTTGACATTTTATGTCAAAACATAAAATGTCAACATGTGTCCACATAACATAATACCGGTATATGTCCACATAATACATATGTCATGTCATTATGACGTTATCCAGTCTGACCTTAACGAGATGCTCTCTGAACCAGTCCTCTCGCTGTACGCTGCTCTCGACGGCCTTGTAGCGAGGGTCGGTCTCGAGTTTGCGCTTAGCTTCCGACCAGCGAGCGTGACGATCAAACTCAAACTCTTTGAGCATTGCCAGGAAATCCTTGCGTACCTATGATCGCAGAATTTACTAGTCAAAAGCAGCAAATAATAGCTTATCTTCAATAAAACATGGATCAAATATGTGGATATGGTCCAGCCATGGCAGAGCTGATGACAGCCAGGCTGAAGCATGGGGAAAAAGGTATTAACGATTTTCAATGTTAAAATCAAAGGTAATCCATCTGGAAGGAAAATATTAGGCTGAAAGAGAACAAAAGTGAGCCTTAAGTTTTTCACCCATGTATAAAACAATTTTCGAGCAATGCCAAAATCTGGTGCTCTAAATTTACAAAGAACTGTGTCATTGTGTTTAAATAATTTCTACTCAAACTCTTATAACATTTTTTCCGATTATGGCTAAATCTAAATTTCTAATGAGAACAATTTTAAGGTTTTGAAGATACAAAGCTTAGTCTAAATAAAGCTATACCTGAAAAAAATTAGCTTTTTATACATGAACATTAACGCACAAAGTTTAACGCTCGAAGGCAACGTTCAGCAGCCAGATTGTGTGGACATAGTAACTGATAAGCTAGATGTTGAGAATTAAATATGATCGATTTTCTATATTCAAATACAAAGTGAGTCAATTTATTTGATGGAGATCCATATTAGCAGATTACTGAAGAATTTAAATTTCTAATATTGAGCCTACAGTGTGTAAGAATTAATAGTTTAGACGCTCACTGCTATCGTTTTGTAGAAGTACGTACGCACTAAAGTGGCAGTACGAAAATTTTAAGTTAGAGCAGGAGTGGTTCTAAGGGCTCAAGTTAAGGTAGTTGGGAGTATTTAGTACCCAGCAACAAAGTAGGCAGTAGGCGATCTTGAGGGTTGTTCGTTTTGTGGTGCTTCCGAAGTCTCTTTAGGTCGTCCAACGGCAGCAGCCACGGGTGAAAGCTACAACCGGAGACGGGACGGTGGAGGTACTGCAGTCACAGCGGCAGTAAGTGGAGCACAAACAACGCATGACTTCGTGTGAGACTCACGTGGTGCAGCATCAAGTCATGAGCCATATTAATTGGGACTCGATGACTGGCAGCAGCAACGGTACCTGTGTTGATGATGTCAGTTTACACCCAGCGCCGCCGGCGTCACTCGAGCGGCGGGACTTACACAGCAATAAGAAGGCGGCGTCAGGCGAGACCAGTTCTTGGGCATCAGTATCTTACCACTTAGAACTTCCTCTTAGCCATTAATTATTCAGGGACTTACACAGCAATAAGAAGGCGGCGTCAGGCGAGACCAGTTCTAGGGCATCGATATCTTACCACTCAGAACTTCCTCTTAGCCATTAATTATTCATAGTGGATACAAAAATAACTTACGGTTGAATTGCCGAAGATCTGTACAGTGAAGAGCCTTATAATATAATTCCACATATAAAAGAATTACATTATTGTTCTTGATCAAACATTCAAAGGATGTAATTTTCTAACGACATGAATTATTAAGGCCAAGACTTACTCAAAAGAGAAGTCAATTTAATGAATGAAGATCATTTCCATAGATATACTGATCATCTAAAATAAATCATTAACTAGTAGACGCAATACTTACAAATCGAAGAGAGACAAATTTCACAGAATAAGACACATTAATAGCATCCTAACGAAAAATAATTACAACGGCAGGTTTATACAAGAGTGATCTGGAATATATTGCTCAAATACTTGTTCAAACTAGTTAAAATATCTCTACATCATCACATTTGCTGAGACAAGTTTTGACGGGAATCATCACAAAAACCTAACGTCTAACAGCATTTAGAGGCAAACATCAAATGGACAAGTGATTTTGACACTTTTTGTTGAATTATTTGGTAAATAAAAATAAATTTGACATTTGTAAATTAATCAGACTTAGACAGCAATTTCTCAAAAAGCATGTCAACAATACCAACAAAATGTGTGCATGAATGTCATCATATATAACTTAATAATAAATCCTAAACCTGGAATAGATCAGTTATTAAATCCAAATTCAAGGATGGAATAATATATGGATTACATTACAATTTCAACAGGAAAATGGACCTGACGACATCAGGCCAGTCTGTACCTGTTGGTTCGTAAGACATCATCTTAAAGACTAAAATAACGGAGAAAATCACTGTTAGAGGTAAGCCATACACAAAAATAGTATACTGAATGTCAATTATAAGATGAAGCATTACTTATTCATTCATAGAAGCAAATTATACTGACATCTACTAATGAAATTTTAGGAAACGAAATGATGAAAAGATTCATATTTGGTGCTACCAACCGACAGACTGGCCTCTGCCGCCAGGTGCCACAAATTGAACGTCTCAACCTGACTCTGGTGAGCGCATGCACGTAGCCAGAGTCCAAGATTTTAAGAATGAATGTAAAAATATTTAGCATAAAACTAAACCATCAGTGCCTACAAATTTATATAAGGCTTTAGAATTAGAGACAATAAAAATATATTGAGCAAGAGCAGTAAATACTTGCTTACGAGAACATTATCCAAAATAATTATGTAAAAATGTAATTACCTATAGATATCATCAATTTGATCTCTGATTAAATTAATAATGGGCTTGCAGCATTTGTCTTGAGAATATTTCTAACAAATACATCATTGAAATCTCTGACAAGAATGCATACTGTTATACAGAGTACTAATTAAAATTATTATCTGCTGGAGAAGAGAAGTAATTAAAATAAATGTGCACATGAATAAAATGTGAAACAAAATCAGGTTAAGAAAAATTTAATGATCCAATAAATAATAGGAACGACATTGCAGAGAAACCATGAAGCTTGAGAACAATGACGAATAATTTTGAAAATTGTTTCACAGATAATAGTGCATTCATAGTAACAGAAAAAGAACAGACCAGTGACGCAATTTGGTTCTCTGAAGTATCGTTAGTTTTAGCAGTGCTCGAGAAACTTGACCACAACTTTTAGGAGAAATCCAAGCAATTCTTTTCTGCATACGTATGCTCATGACCGGTGAAGTTCATTTCATTTGGTGATCAATTTATTGATCGTACAAAAGTGAATTATTATTCGGGATAAATGGTTTCATTGATCTCAAAATGGCTAATAAGTCTTTGAACCCTAACAGAAATACTAGTGACGCTAGACGTCATGTCTTAGTGGAGCCCACTTAGTTTTTAAGACGATATCAAGATATGAGCCAATTGAACCAAAGTTACTGTCTCACATGATGGTAGATAACAATTTTCACTGAAAATATCGTTAACCTGGATTTCGCAGGCTTACTAAAGAAGCTGAAAGCAGCATCAAGGCTGAAACAAAAGCGTCAAGTTGTTTCTGTTGCTCTCAAGCAAATAATACGGCTGATTTAACTGTCTTATCCCCAGCACGTGACGATTATATTCATATTAGCACGGACTCTAAGTAAGGCGAGTGAGCAAATGCAAAGTTTTTTCTCTTATTAGTCACGGCGGAAAGTTTCAAGGAGCAGAGCTAAGCACGTAAACCTCATCACTAGCTCGACGAGTGGCCGTAGAACGAGCGGGAAGGCCGCGCTGGTGGCACGGGGGCGCAGAGGGTTCCTATAGTATAGATTCACTGGAAACCTCTACAGCAAGAAACACATCGCAAAAGTCGGCAAATAAATACGTGTGATAGATCGAAGTTACTATAAAATGTATCTATTTTTGATCTATTTGACATTTCATTGCGTTTCCTAATGTTTTTAGTGTGAACGATTTTCTCACCAATGTCATACATTCAGTTAGTAGAAAGGGTTCTGCCGCCAGCAAAATATGTTAATATGAGGATCTCAATGAATTGTGACCAACATTGAACGCATGACAAATTAAACAAATGAAGAACAGACCTTCTCCCATTATGGATAACAACGCACTTCTATCAAGCCAAGAAGTGGGGACTTTTATTCCCTACTAGTATGCGAGGCCAGCACCTTCGGAATAAGCTCATTTGAATCCATCACTGCTAAGTGCCAGCGCCCCCGTGCAGACCAGTGCAGCACAACCCGCAAGCAGCAACACCAGCTCGCCTCGACCTACGCGCGCTCAGTCGTCATTATTCTCACCTGTTCACGTTTGGCGAGCTTCTCTTCTTTCTCCCGGCGCCGCACCTCTAGCAGGTACTCGTCGAACAGGGACTCGCGCTCCCTCATCTTCTCGATGTTCTTGAAGCGTTCATCCTTAGAGAACTTACTGCAGAACTCCGTGAAGGTGTTCTTGCCCGTCAGGTTGGCGCTCTCGAGCAGCTGCCGGAACTCGTCTTTGCGCTCCTTCAGCTTGTTGCGTTTCTCACGTCGCTCCTCCTCGGCCCGCTCCTTCACGTACCTGAAAACCAAGTTGGCGTTATACAAGTGGTATTTAAGTCCGCTTCTTCACGTACCTGACAAGCAAATTGGCGTTATACAAGTGATATTTAAAGCCTCTCCTTCACGTACCTGACCACCAAATTAACGTTATACAAGTGATATTTAAAGCCGCTCCTGCACGCACCCGAACACCAAGTTGGCGTTATACAAGTGATACTCAAGTCTGCTCCTTCACGTACCTGACCACCAAGTTGGCGTTACACAAGTTTATGGTAATTCACCGAAAACGGCATGCAATCACGGTCGATCAAGAATAGAAAAGTGAAGTAGTCAATGCAATTGATTTCAGATGACAAATATTAACGAGATGCACCAAGGCCTGAAATCCTCTCCGAATTAATACGTAGTTCTTCAAATGAATAATATAAAATCAGCAATAAAGACTAAAAAACCAATACTCACTTTTCGAAAACTTGTTTCCTTTCCTTACAGGGCAACAGCAGGTATCGGGGATCAAAAACGATCTTCGAGAGTTCTTTTTCCCAGGAGCTGAATGCTGACACCTGCAAGATGTAGCAACGTTAACATCCAGCACGGGACTTCGTCCAAATGAAACAGACGATACTAGATCAATAAATTGCCGTCACTACCGTCAATGGTTTTAAAACGAATCAACAGATTTACTGTAATATTGGTGAAGAAAAGAAAAAGGTCCTCAAGAAGCGCTTCTAAATTGTATTATTCACAGACTGGAAAAATGTGAAATACGGATAGCTAGTTCGAATTTTTGATATTGGTAATAACTGCACTGACAACATACCTAAGAATAGTTGTAAATTATAACTTATTGTAAATAGTATCTTATTTAAAGAATTTATTCTAATGAATTTGGTCTACAGATATTCTAAAAATTGATACCCTACATTCCCTTGTTTTCCTAAGAACCAAGAGGGAGGCATGAGGGGAAAATTTAGATTCAACTCGAATTTATTCGTTAATATTTAATGAGTAATTAGTTCGGTGCAATAGAGCGTTGTGGGCAGTTTTTTTACGTATACGTACTTGTGCAAATATCTTAGCACTAAGACGGTTTTTTACACATATTTAGTGTCTGTTTCCATTTAACTTGTTATTCACTTTCCCGTAGCTCGAATATCTAGTGCGAGTGCGAATGCCATGCCCCAGTCTGAATGCACCATTCAGATGTCAGAGTGCATAAGTTTCAGTATATTGTCTGCTGAAAGAAGGGAGCGAACCAACTTACCGCCACGAAGATAAAATGAGCCAGAGATAGGCGAAGAAATAGGCGATTCCTCAAAGCTTATTCCCTCAATCAACAACAGCAAATACATATAAGTACTGTATTTAAAATGAAGTAAGGCAAAATGTGATACGTTTAAGTCAACTCACGCCCTGTTCGGCAAGCAGGTCCCTGAACTGCTTCATCCTTATCTCGAGCGGCACAATGGCGCGCTCCCTGGCTGCCTTCACTTCGGCCTCGATGGCCGCCTCCTTGCCGACGTCGATGCGCTTGATCGCTTCACGCACAGAGTTGGCTCCGGCATCAGCTACGACAGGGTAAAAGAAAATAAATCATCCCAAACCTTAGGTTTGTATTACACTTTAATTTTTCTATAGTTGGACTTGAGATCCTGGATGCTATCTCAGATATAAAACGAGATGTAGTTCCGAGATATTTGCAACGAAACGTTTCTACTTACTGACGTCCTACACATATAACTTCAACCTCCAATTAGTACAAATTCAAGTGAAATATTCCTTTAGCAATGCATCTCATTAGGCATTTCAGCCTACATCAACGAACCAGTTGCCCAGGCCCGCAACTATGAAGCAGGAATCACTCGGTAACACCAAATCGTGCTGCAGAACTTTCAACAACCTGGGTAACAATTTTCTAACTTTCGAGGAGAACAGCCTAAAGTGAAACGCTGATAAAGTCTCAGACAATTATATATCTGAAAGTAATGTTTCAACTTACCGTCAGTTCAAATTTTCTTATTAGGTGGTTTGACTAAGTTTCGGACAATTGTACATCTGAATGGAATGTTTCAACTTACTGTCAGTTTTAATTTTCTTATTAGGTGGTTCCTCTCCTTCAGTTTGGGCAGCTGTGGCAGGAGCAGCATTAACCGCACCCCCTGCAGCAGCAGGAGTAGCAGGAGTACCCAGGAGCTGCTGCCGGATTTTGAGCACCTCGGGTGGGGTGTTGGCGAGCATTTTATCAACATCCTGCCTGCCGTCAATCTCTGGGGGCTTCTCCCATACGGACACCTTGCTGGTGGGGTTGTAGAAGAAGGTCTTTGCGTCGCCAGTCCACACGACACACCACGGCGTGTTGGGCACCGGCAGCGACCACACGGGCTTACTCAGCTCGGCCGCCTTGCGCGCCTCTTCCTCCTCGCTTGGCTGCTGGCAGTTGTAATTTTTAGTTATCAGGAAACACAAACGGTAATAATACAAACAATAATTTTAAAACCAAAGGTAATATTGATAGAAACAGAAATAATATGAAAATAAACGATATTAACGGAACATCCTAAATTTGGGGAATGAACGGTGGCAGAAGCCTCGAAGTTGTTGGCTGATTGTATAGCTGATTAGACAATTTGTCTGTCCATTTGTTAAGGCAATTGTTAAACCGAGGATATGTTGGCTAAATGGAATACAATGGCCTTAAATGTATACAACATACACGAATAAAAAATAGAATTCACGACGTGAACAAACTCAACTATATAGGATCGAAATAATAGCGTTCAATACCGAGAATAAGCAATACTTCAGCATTTCAAAGATCATAAATGGAGATACACAGGGGTTGGATATAATAAGAAACACCAAACATTTTGAGATCATAATTTTTGAACATGTTATAAACAATACCAACTTACATATTTTTATGTTTTATTATCGTTGCTAAATGAAATTTCAAGCTTTTGCAGCTATTTACGATTATAACTTTATAAAAATGGCAAACCTTCTCGAATTTCAAAGAGGCTAAATTATTGGTGTTTGTATGACAGGTGCTAGTGTGACAGAAACTTCCCGAATGATTAACGTTTCAAGATGCACTGTCTCTAAAGTAATGACTGTTTTTGAAAGAGAGGAAAAACGTCATCAGAAATGCACAGGTCTTGCTGAAATTCGTAGTTGTCTGAGAGAGGCCGTTGGTCTCTTAATCAAATTATTTAGAAAATCGGAAGATCTCACGGCTGTGAAAATGACAGCAGACCTCAATGGACACCTCAGAACCAAGTTTTCATAAAAACTGTTCGTCGAGAGCTGCAAAAATCTGAATTCTATGGAAAAGCTGTTATTAGAAAAACTCTGGTCTCAATTTAGAATGGTGTAAAAACCTCGAGAATTTTTCCCTGGAGCAGTAAGAAAATGTGGTTTTCTATGAATAATGATAGTTTACCTTATTTCCGACCTCTGGCCAAGTGTATGTAGGGAGAGGGTTAAAAAAGTCCGAAAGAGGGTTAAACTGGAGTCTAATTGAAAGAGGTTAAATGAATGTTTAATTGAAAATTAGGCTAAAATTCCTTTGGAAATTATCAACAATTTGTAAGCATCTATGCCTAGGAGAATTGAGGCTATAATTGCCGCAAAAGGTGGACCTACACCACGATAAAATATACTTTGTGTAGTTATAAGGTGTTTCCTTTATTGTATCCAACCCCAGTATATTCGTCAAAGAACTCACCTTGCTTTCCTCAACTTCCATTTGAGTTTCTTCCTTAATCTCTTCTTTGGTTGCAACAGCCGCTGGATCCTCCTTTTTGACGTCTCCGTTGAGACTCTCTGTTTTGACGCCGTCTTTAGAGTCGCTATCTGACGCTTCCTTCTTAACGACATCGTCGTCACTGTCATCGTCATCGCTGTCTTCGTCCATGGGCTCGCCGTCCTCCTGTTTACTCTCCATCTTAGTCCCGTCCGATATCTTGCCTTCAAGGGGCGCTTCTGTCTTGACGGGGGCAGTCAAGGAGATGCCTTGAGCGAGCGCCAGACGAGCAGCTGAAATGTAGCGCCAACGACAACTTAGATTTAGAGCAATCAGGTCAAAATTGAAGGCTTAGAGCATCAACATAATACACACTACCTTGATTTCATTGTCATTTTCAGCAATCTTGTCATTTTACCGCAAGTAGAAACTTTAAATGGGCACAAGTCAGAGATAGTTTACAAATTGGTTGTGTTCTTTATGGCCCTATAAAATAATGGGGCTAATCGAGCTCAACCCTATTAATGTTTAAGAACCAACATAAGCTGAGCTTGTAATAACAGGTACAAAAGTGAACAAAGAATAGATTGACATAGTATCACTGTTCAAGAACCAACATAAGCAGAGCTTGTAATTACAGGTACAAAAGTGAGCAAAAAAAAGATTGACATAGTATCACTGTTCAAGAACCAACATAAGCAGAGCTTGTAATTACAGGTACAAAAGTGAACAAATAAAAGATTGACATAGTATCACTGTTCAAGAACCAACATAAGCAGAGTTTGTAATAACAGGTACAAAAGTGAACAAATAAAAGTTTGACATATCACTGTTTAACAACCAACATAAGCTGAGCTTGTAATTGAAAAAGCAAAGGAAGAAATACTAGACTAAGAAGACATTGAACTCATAGCTACCTTCGAGGTCCTTGAGCGGCTGGGGCTTCTCCCAAACGCTCTCCTGAGTCTTGGCGTTGTAGTAGTAGCTCTTGCCGTCAGGGGCCTTGTGTTCCGTCCAGTCAGCGGCACGCTGCACCAGCGCAGGGTCCAGGTCGCTGTCGCTCACCGCCGTGGATGGAGCACCTGCAGGTCGTCGGTACGTTTAAGCCGAGATGTTCATTTTGATTATATATTGATTAGTATTCTACGGATATACAAAAATATAATTACGCCAGTTTCGCTCTGCCAATCTAATGTATTTTTTTCATATCACCCAATCAAAATACTCTGACTGTGCGCAATCCAGCCTCATGATCATCCGTCATTGTGTGGGTAAAAGAAATAAGATGGAACTAAGAATCAATTGGCAAATAACAGAGAAAACAAAGACAGAGACGAACGCTTTTAGGAACTTCAACAATCAATTTAGGCAAACACAAATGAACTGTATTGCGATTTGCGTGATATGCAACTCTAGCTATGCCCACCAATACCAATCAAATACCTGAATCAACTCGATTTTCTTGTAAACCTTACCCTGAGTGACGACTGCGGAGCCAGAAGAAGTGGTAGCACCAGCACTCTGTAAAGAAAGCATTTTTTGTTAATCAATGGAATGGCAGGTTAGTTGAAAAAGACTTTTCAAAATGACTTAAAGAATTTCTCAACTCCCCTAGTTTGGAAGGTAATAAATCTTTCAGTGATAAGCATTCTTGCAGCATTAGATGCGCTAAAGTTGTCTGGATTATAGTTAACTGTAAGACGAGTATATAACAGCTCATAATTCAAGTTATTTGAGACTGAGAATTCATCAATTCTCCAGTTGCAATTGATCTCTGAAATTTTTAATGCCGTTGCCAGAAATCCATGCAACATTGATTGGTCAGCATCGAGTCGTCTCCGTGGTTAAGAATAGATAAAAAAAACCTGCACAATTATTTTGGGTTGCAGCGCAGTGTGAACGCTAACAATTTTAATTTTAACCTGTCAATTTAGCTCACCAAGATCACAATTACCAGGCGCCAAAAATAGATGCATGAAAAGCAAAATTTATTCCATCAATTTAATGCCTTACTTAAATACAGTATTGACCTACATATTGCAGAACGTAATCAAATCATTTGTGATATTTCTATGGCTACGGCCTACAGAGTGAGACAAGACCATACTATTCATGGGGTCTCTACTTCTATAATAACTAATGGCGTCTGCGTGGGTGTCGTGCGGTAATGACATTCAAGACAAGGAATATTGACCGGAGGCGTTTGTGAAGCAATGAAATTCTTTTATCTTTAGTGAATATTCTCGAAGTAGAGGTGTGAAGAGCGCGGCAATATTAATACAAAGCTGTTCTATAATCAATTACCTGCAAAGCATGAGGAGGCGGTAACTGTATAGGCGATGCCCCGACTGCAGCGCCAGGCACGATGCTCGGCGGGGGAACCTGCAGCAAGCCAGCATTTATGGGCGGTACCCCTGTGGGGGGACCGTCCTTATCCCCCGTCATGGGGGGAGGTAACTGCGACATTGCTCCTAAATTGGGGGGAGGCATACCCCAGCTAGGGGGTCCCATTGGGGGGCCTTGGTTCATGTTGAAGTTGTTCCATCCTTGGCCACCATGAGAATTATTCCCAAATCCGGATGGGCCCTGGCCCATGTTATAGGGTGGTGGCCCGCCACCTGAACCTCCGTAAGGAGACCCAGATGGAGGCATACCGAACGGGGGGCCGCGAGGGGGCGGGCCCATGCCTGATGGACTACCCCATGAACCAGAAGCGCCACCTTGATTTTGATTGCTCTGGAGAAACGATGATTTATTAGTAGCGCAAAAAGGTAACAAACAACAATAGGTAACAAACAAATTGATGTATCAGGAAGGGTAAATGAAAATGTTTACTCATTAATAGTATTTCCCAATTACTACTGCAGGTAACAAACAATCGTCTTTATTTTTTACTGTATTGACAGTATTCATATTTTACAATTTCTAATTAAAAAATTTTGGTTATGGCTCAAATTCTCTAATTCAATAAAACAAATGAAAAACAACAATACTGTTACATAAGTGTAGAATTTTATGGTATGTGTGATACATCAAAAAATGAATGATTTCAGGAACATTCTTTATTTGAGGGCATTAAGACTGCCTGAAGAAAACCATTCCCAATCGTCTGTCACAAACAAAAAATTTCATGAGATTTCATCTGCAGTAAATGCTCACATTATTTCTATTCTGCTGCCAGTTATTAGATTGGCCGTCATTTTGATGGCTGTCTTTATGCGAGTCACCGCCGTCCGAGCCATGAGAGTCTTCACCGTCCTTGTCGTCGGTGCTGGCGCCGTTCTGCGTAGCGTCTCCTGTGCTCTGCGAGTTCGGCGTCACGCCTGCCGCCTGAGCCATTGCCTCCACCTGCACCGGTATTATCATGCTTATCTGACACTAATGTATACATAATAACTAGTGATGCCTACTACGGTACAGTTGCTGATCCAACATCAATGTACACAAAATAACTAGCGATACCTACTACAGCCTAATGTAGCCAAGATGACATCTAATGTAGAATCAGAGCAGAATGCTGTAACATGCTAACAATGATGCACATCTTCAAAGTTAACAAAAGCTATCTACAAAAAATATGAGACATGAACCAACAGCAGTGACAGTGATCTTCAATTCATAGAAAATCATTATGATGGTACTGACCTGTCCCTGTGTGAGTATCTTGATGTTATCACCCTTAGGCTTGGTCCAAGTAGTCTCTCTGGTGCGCGCATTGTAGAAATAACTCTTGCCTTCTCCAGCCTTGGTCTCAACCCAGATCTCCCCAGTGAGGTCGAAGCCTCCAACGCCGCCGCTCGAGTTGAAGTTCCCTCCTCTGTTGCCGTTGTCGTTCTGCACAAAAAATTTCAGACCAGAACATTTTAGAATATGAAACAAGTCATGACTAACATACAACACAGCCAGAAAATAATGACTATCATTCACTAAAATTTCTTAAGTGTGCTCCTGTCATTTTTCAACAGGACCACAATTATGCTTGTTCATAATATTCATTGACAAACATTTACAGTTAGACTGAGGCTCAAATAAAGCGAAAAAAGCCATTGACAAAATTTCAGCTACCTCTTGAAGTGAAAAATTTCATACCTTACTAGTCCATTGTTGTGGCAAAGACTTAACAGAGTTAGCTTCAAGTGTAAATCAACTTTGTTTAAAATTCCATTTAAATTAGAGATAATCATCTCATAGAGAAAATTGAGTAAACTGATGATAGACGTACATTGAACATGTAATTGATTAATGTATCATTCAATAACACAAAGACTTTGTGAGGCTTAGGATGAAAATTTACATTTCTTATTGTAGATATATTCATATGTGTTAACAAATGATTTCATCATTCGATGAAAATGAAGAATTCGGAAAAAAATGCCAATTGGGGTTCATGGCATATGTCATTTGCTAATTTTGACATTGTTATTCAAGCAATTTCGATTGAATACTGGCAACTATTGATCATTGGAGCATGATAAATAAAAATAATACGACCAAAATAACAGAATCAAAAGTCCCCTATATTTCAGCTTAGAAGCATTGAGTTGCCTTCAGTAGTGCAATGCAGCACACCTCCATCTTTAAATTTCTAAGGAGGAAATTTCACCTAAAAATAAACCTGATATTTTAGACTAATCATTGCAAATAATTTTGCTGGAACAGCACTCAGATTCGAGCATGAGCTGAAAAATTGTCAAGATGTAACAGCAAAATAACACACTAACCTGTTGGTTAGGAGGCCCATTTGGGCCTTGTCCTCCCATTGGTCCTCCCCAGGGACCAGGAGGGCCCATTGGACCCATGGGTCCCATTGGCCCCATTGGAGGCTGGAAAGTAAGAACATAAATAAACTCATCATTATTAAAAAAGTTGCTGCACTATAACCTGTTTTGATGATAAAAGGAAACGGAAAAGATGATACTCTAACATGAGTCATTGAGGAAGTGAAAATAAACATTACCACATAGCACATTGTTGTTCATAGAACTTCCACTTTCACATAAAGTGCATTTACAAATTGATCTGCTCAATACTAGGATTATAAAAAATATGTCATGAGCTTGGCACTCTGACACAACTTCCCTGTATATGGCACAGACCAGATCATCTACCTGAATGGATTAAAAACTGCAACAATAAGAGAAAAATTTATAAATCAATAAACTTTTACGAGTGGAGTAAAACTAATTGAAAAATTTTATGCCATTTGTCTTGCTTCAGTTAATGACCTTTAAAGAGCAGCAACAAATTCAGAAGCCAAACAGTAAAATTTATTGTCAATGCAGATCATTTTGTGCATCATTTAAATCTCATATTAATGCACTGCTGCATTTACAAAGCATGCCAGTTTTTGGATAGGTATTACTTTTGATAATGGAGAACAGATTAATTACCATTCCATGAGGACCCATGGGCCCACCCATGCCAGGAGGTGGCATGGGGCCCCAGTTAGGGTCAAATGGTGGTGGGCCTCGAGGGGAGAAGCGGGGACCTCGAGGACCAAAAGGTGGTGGTGGACCTCTGTATCCTGGTGGTGGCCTAAACCCAGGGCCTCCACGGCCTCTGAATCTTGGCCCACCGGGTCCCATTGGTCCCATGGGGCCACGAGGGCCCATGTTCTGTCGGTCTTGAGGACTGCCCGGGCCATTCTGGCCAAAACTGCGTCTGTCAGCTCCTCCTCCATTGTTGCCTCCTCTGCCCCTGCAAATACAAATTAAACATTTCAAGAAAATACAAAAGATACATTTCTTTACAACTCTGATGTGTGATTACACAGAAGAATGTAGTTAACATATATAACTCACTGATGCAAGGGAAGATGCTGAATAAATATTCAATAGTTTGTGTTAATTGATGAATTGTCTTCAGCAATTCCAAGCAAAGCTTGTATCAATAGGTACTAAATGAAATAAAATTTAGCAAGCGCGCAATAACTTTCTTGCAGTAAATTTTAGCACTTAGCTCATGAGTAATATAGGTATTACAGTTAGAACAAAAGCCTTTTATCAATCATCTCAAAAAATAACTTCAGGGACATTAACGAGAATTTTTCAAAAATTGCAGGTAAAAACTATTATTTTTTAGAGCTACTCAAAATTGCAGAGAAAAATGTGCAGTTTTCATTTTTAATCAGGGTTGGCAATGATTAAATCAAGTGATTAAATCACTTGATTTTTTTTTTAAAATCGTGACTTTTTGACTTTTTTGATTTTTTCATACATATAAAAATATTGAGTAGCAGTCTTTAATTTATATTGAGGTATTGTTATTCATGGTTTAGTATAAATGTACTATGAATGACAAATTGGTACATAAACGTGTTGCCTTTAGTGTGTATTAGGTTCCAATAAATGGCATTTTTTTTGGTACAGAGGCATCAAGAGTGCAATACATTGTACGTAGCAAGCAGCTTAGCTAATTCCTAAAAGGCTATAAGTAGTCTTAACTATTTGACTATTTGTTATATATTGATTACAATATACAATTTAAATGTGTTAGCTAGCCTATACAGGGTGGGGCAGAACTGATTAAACAGTTTTGAGGCAAAATAAAAGAGTAATGGAGGTACATAAAGAAGAAAGTTTATTTTCCTCATGATTAGCATAACATACCATTTAAAATACTTATATTTTGAAAACAATATCAGGAAGATGGGGTTTGTTAGCTGCATCACACTGTTGGAGTTGTTCTCGGAAGTTTTCTACAGCACGTTCACACATATGGCTAATGCAGTGAATGGATATAAAATATTTTAATTGTGCACATGTTTATTTCAAACAGTGTTAGCTTTTCTCATAACTTAAGTCTCGTTTCAAGTTGTATGAGGTTTGTTTGGTTATCATTCAGTTTATGTTTAGTATTCGTTTATTGGTATGAATTAAATGGGAACAGTGCAGTCAGTCACTCAGTCACTACTAGTTGGTATGTATAGAAGGTAGAGTCTGGTAGATTTATAGAACATAAAACTAGTAGATCTATCAATAGTGCTGTGCACTGTGCAATCAGCTACCTATCTGTTATGTGACTCTTCAATGTTTAGGAGATCTGCATTCCTGAAGTGTTTTTTGTATATTGAAGCCAGTTAAATGGTCAATATTTAGCTCATTACCTTGCTCCATACAAACTTTACAAAGCTAATGAATAGACTTATCAATAATTGTTTACCCGAAAATCCTTAAGTGGTAAACACCACCTTGGCCTGTTGGCCATTATTGGAGGCAATAAGTGCCCTTTTTAGCCATCCTTTCTGATCGATATGCTGTTATTGTTAGTAGGCTAATTGCAACATAAAAAATAACACCTCAAAAAAGACATAAAAGGTGAAAAAATCAAAAAAATCAAATAAATCAAAAAAATCATGAAAAAATAAAAAAAATCGTTGATTTTTGATTTTTTTTGAAAAAATAAAAAAAAATCGCCAACCCTGTTTTTAATAAAGAAATATGGCAAGGGCCATAAAAATGAATAAAATTAACTGCAAGCAGAGACATTTCTGTCTCATTCACATATCCAGGGCCTATACTTTCTAAACTCGCTAAGTGAACGTAAGTACTTACGCTCTATTTTCTTGTCTATGATTGATGGATTTTGCTTGAAAGGCCGTCAATGATTGGCTGATGAACTTGCGATCTCTTAACTTTTTTGGAAAGTATGGGCCCAGTTTTCCAGAATAGTAAGGTCAGTATGACATTATTTCATGTGATTCAGGTTATTGCTAGATAAGCAGCTATGGGCATTACTGGTCCTAAATCTATATTGCCTGGTAAATGTGGTTATCAAAATAGTGAGGCACAGTGTTGGACTTGTTTATGACATGATGGCACAACCAATTCACAAAAATTTTCCAAAAATAAAAATCAACCAAAAATATTCAGGTATTTTTAGCACGTTTTTTCATTTATGGAAAAAAAGCTGCTATTGTGCTCACCATGTCCGTCCGTGACTTCACATCACGGACGGATGAGAAAATACGCTCTAGTCACTCACTGCACTGAGTACCGAGTTAATAATGTTTTCAACAAATTGGTGGGAAAAGTAAATGCCCACATAGGCTGTCATTTTGATACAGAACAATTTTGTAGGGTCCTTAGAAATGGGTGAAACTCAGCACATTTCATTTATTCAGCTAGCACAGGGTGGGAATTTTCCTACTTGTTAGTTGTTACACAAATCCTGTGGCTCCAATGTGACAAATTTTCAATACATTTCAAATCTCACCCTCTGACTGGACTTAAGTGAACAGTTAAATAGGAGGTATTCAACTAATTTAAGTCACCTTGCAGGATCTTGTGGTTATGAAAATGGCTAAGAAAGTTCTAGTTGCAACCTAAATAAAATGTATAAAAAAAATTTTCAAAGACCATGTTTTTCATGTGGACTCAAAAGTAGAAAATAATTTTTCGGCAGCTACTGATCTCTGTTTGCTTTCATTCTCTTGGTCTTTTGTATTTCAGTTAATGCATATGTATTTAATTGTTTGGTGATTACTTGATATGATGAATATGATGGTTCATTGAACATTTGATAAGTGTATTGCTGATATAATTAGAAATAGTGGTTGAATTCAAAATTGAAATTAAGGCATGCCTAAATGAAGATGCGCCCCACGTTTTTCATTTTAGATGTAAAATATTCTAACTGAAATACAAAAGACCAAGAGAATGAAAGCAAACAGAGATCAGTAGCTGCCGAAAAATTATTTTCTACTTTTGAGTCCACATGAAAAACGTGGTCTTCAAAAATTTTTTTGTACATTTTATTTTCTACTTTTTAGTTTTTTTAAGTATTTTATTTTCTCATTTTTAGTCCGTTGCTACACACGAAACACGTTGTTGCGAGCCAATTTACTTGACTTGATGTACGTATCAATGATACGAAGCATATCATCGATATACGCAGTCTAAACACAAATATCCTCTCGAGGATGACGTGCATTAAAGGTTCCAACCCCTGCTTGTGAGTTCCTTTAGAGCAGTGGTTCCCAAAGTGGGCGATATCGCCCCCCTAGGGGCGGTGGAAAGATTTTGGGGGGCGGTAAGGAAGAAGAGGGCGGTAGGGGGCGATAGCCCGAAGTCAATGTCAGAAGTTCGAACGCTTGTTTGACAATTTGTACTCAACACGTGCAGCACATGAGCCCCAGCGTTGGTTTTTTCACCCAGATCTGTGTTTTAACCTCTCCTGGGTTTACGTCTTGAACAAATTAACGGCTGGACTTGCGGCCGGTCTCACCGGCTAATTTCCAAATTCAAAGATCAAGGAATATCTCTCAAACTAATTAACATAACTCGATGAAACTTAGTACACGTATTCATTAGGACCTAATGATAATGTTTTGCTTGTGAATTTTTTTTTTAATTTTGCCATCGTTTATTTTTGCCATAGTTACATGGCAATACGGGCCGAAATTCACACTGATCAAGCTATTTCATCCAAACTACTGAACATATTCGAACGAAATTTTGAATTTACAGTCCAAACTACCGAACGGTAATGTTTAGTTCGTGAAAATTTTTTTTCGAATGTGCCTTACGAACAAAACTTAGTATTTAAATACCTAACCTCAGCAACGGTGATGTTTACAATTTTTTCGTTTTGCCTTCGTTTGCGAGTTATACGGCTGGCTATACGTATAAGGCTCTTGGTTAAACCGACCGGTAGAAAAGCCGGTCGTTCCTCCTATATCTGTATAACTCGCGAACGAAAGCAAAATAGAAAAATTTTCACGAGCTAAACATCACCCTTGAGAGGTTAGGTATTAATATACAAAGTTTCGTTGAAATCTGTTCTGTAGTTTAAATAATTTTTTTGATCGCAACGAATTACCCGGCGATGCGGGCCGAATATAAGGAAGTGTGAAATCAAGGATGACGGTGAAATGAGAAAAAACTTGCAAACGAAGGTAAAATAGAAAAAAATTTATAAGCTAAAAATTCACCGTTAGGTAGTTAGGAATGTATATTCAAAATTTCGTTTAAATCTGTTCAATGGTTTGGAAGAAAGTCTTTGATCACTGCCGATTTCGGCCTGTTTTGCAATATACGCGTAACTCACGAATGAAGGCGAAATTAAAAAAAAATACAAGCTAAACATCACCGCTAGATTCTGATGAATACGTGTTCCAAGTTTCATAGAGCTGCGTTCATTAGTTTGGGAGATATTACTTGATAATTGAATTTGGAGATTGGTCGTGAGACCGGCGACGAGTCCGGCCTTATAAATTCGCCCCCGACGTGCTAGGTTTCTATAGTGCTGAAACAGTTAAAACAGCTGAAAAGCATATTGTTCACTAAATGGAGTTATATGTAATTGTGAAATACACATTTGTATTTAACCTTTATCCTTTAAAATTGCAGCGTACTAAATTTCAAGAAAGAGGCGTATGTCTGTGGGGGCGCTAGAAATTTACTAGGGAGCCAAGGGGGGCGCCAGCCTGAAAAAGTTTGGGAACCACTACTTTAGAGTTTATACGCCTGGAAACGTGCAACAAATTATTGATTATTGTATTGTTATCGGGAGCTGAGCTTCCCTAAAAGTTTCAGAGCGCTAGCTAATGGGAAAGTTGATGAAATATTGATTGCAAGATTTGATCATCACAGACACGAAAGCGAGCTAAGAAAAACGTGGTAAAATAGATATAATCCATGCATGTGAAAAAAAAGACATGCTGCAAACAAAGGCATTTTTGTCATATATACGATTCA